CTAATGTACAGATGTAAACACACTGCTGCTAATGTACAGATGCTAACATATAACTACACTTTGCTTGCACTACAATACACAGTACTTTATAATTGCCTCTGTTTTGACCAGATGTTAGACTTTTACTCGTCTTTTATTATTATTTTCAAGATAGAGATTTCATACTATTGATGTTAGAGTTTTTGTTTTATTTTGATTAGTATAGCTATTGTTCACTTAACTTGTGCCGTGTGCTCCTCTTTCCTACTGTTCTATAACTTGTGATGCAACACTAACATTTCCCCACTGTGGGACGAATAAAGGATCTCTTAATTTCAATCTTAATGTGGTTAAAACCAACATTTACCCAAAATACTTATGTTCTGGGCGCGTTCCCACTTGTTGTTCTGCTTAGATATCATTAGACTGGTTATGGTTTTCTTGTGGCAAAATTGCTTTATTTGTGGATGTAAGCAAACTCACTAAAATTTACATCTTTTGAAACAGATTTTTGAAGCTTTTTTAGTTAAACACACATCCTAAGAATGTAATTGTAGAAAGAGGGGTTTGCCTTTACAATGTCACTTTACTTCAACTGACACCATAATACATTACACATTATGATTAGCAATGTAATTTTAAGTGTTTTTTTTTTCTTTATATTTGTATTAGCCCGAAACTCTCCCATCCGGCCGCTATTCTACTATGGCATATTATATCTTATGCAAATGTTCTCTGGAAAACGACCACTGGCTTGGTTAAAACATCAAACCCAACATTAAGCTGTGATATCAAACGTGGATTTGACTACATTACATGAAGCTACAATATACAACTTTTATATATTATAAGACAATACGAATTAAGCAAAATATATTTTGTAGTACATAGTTTTCTGGTACCCCGTAATTGTGTTTTTACTTTTTTAAGTGTTACTGGAGGCATTTTTCACAACTTTAAAGGTAAATTAACTTAAAAGAACTTAATGATAGGCTGACATTTAAAAGATAGCTTTATTACATAGTATTTGATAATGTCTTTGATAATGATGAGCAACAACACATGGTTCTTGGATCAGAATGAATGTGAACAATGAACATTTAAGGACATGAAACGAAAAGAAATGGCCAAAAATACACTGGGTTTTTTCTTCCAGAAATACTTTAGCAGCCCACCTACAGTCTAAGTCCATTGTAAGCTGTCTTGTTCTGCCTATAAATCCCTGTTTAATTTTGCCCCATGAAACAGACCAGAGCTAATTTGGCCAAGCTCTAGTGGCCTGGTTCTGAAATCCCACTGAGAGAGTGAGTCTCCAGTGCAGCTTTGGCAATGGGAGCTCAGCCTCGTGCAGATCACGGCCTCACACTGCACACCAAGCGGCTAATTACACAGGAAAGGGCCCGCAGAGAGGGGCTACTGCAGCTGGACCAACAGGACATGTTAACACCTCAAATGGGGCAGTATTCACATAATACTAGAAAATCTTTAGTCGGAATGTTTACATTGCGGCTCAGCTTATTGTCCTTTTGTGAATTCTCGGGGGTGGCACATACGGCCACTCGTAGAATTCAACATGAATTTCACACATTTTTTTTTTTAATGGACACATCAAACATTATTGCATCACAGCAACATGGTCCACACTTACTGTAGATATTTGAGCACGATGTAATACATAATTCAGCGTCAAATTAAATAAATGACAAGTTTTTAGAATTGACAAGAGAGGAAGTCCACTCCTCCTTCTGTATGTTTGTACAGTATATCTGCTGTATATTTTACCTTTTGTAAACACTATCTTTATCGTATAAGCAAGGCATGGCATGGCAAGTTTATTTGTATGGCACAATTCATCAAAATTATAAATCATCACAGTACATGAAAAAAAATAGTAAAGATAAAGTCCCTCAGTTCTGTGTACATCTAAACAGAACGGTTTTAACCTGGCTTTAAACAATATCATAGAAGAAGCATGTCTTACATTTTCAGAAAGACTGTTCCAGATCTTAGCTGCATGAAGCTTAGACGTCAGGCTTACACTATACCAGTTGGTTTCTTGCAATACTCAAGTTGTGAATGGACTTGATGGATTATTGATTGTTACTAATTTGACCTTTTTGAGTTGACAACGTTGAAATTATTGGCTGTCATTATTCACTGAAATGCTTAATTGTGGTAATTATATCTGATGGCGGGATACCTTGGCATTTACACACACCGTGGAAGCAGTTGAACTCTGGACACACTTCACTGCCTAACGGATTAATTAAAAACTCCACAGAACCCTGAAGCTGAGCACACGCTATTTTAGTCGACCACACAAAGCAAACAACAAGGGGAATGTGACCAGAACTTACTTTTAACAAGCTGCTCTTCACACTTCCACAAAACTCCAGCTGTACAACAAAACATTGGGGCCAAGTCAACCGTAAAACAAACAGTATTTAAAAGGTGGAGGTTTTATTTATTTTTTGCTCAATTTGCAGAGGTTTGGCATTGAATTCTAGCTTTGGAGACTTTTGGACGCACACAGAAAACCAAAATGGAAGCTGATTCACGATTATAACGAGTTCAAATGTTTTTGTTTTTTTTTACAACAATGAATCATTAGTCTCATTCCCACTGAGCAATAAAGTGGGCAAATATGGCAGTCATTTCCACAGTAGTTGAAATCAAACTGTTTTATAACCCGTTGCTTACATGTCACACAAGGAACATGCTTTGCAATGTGCAATACTGCAACTTCAGAATATCCACTGAACAATGCCAAACTATCCCTTTTCAATCCCTGTACGTGTTTTTGCTTTTGTTTTGTTTTCTGTAAAATTATGTGTGCAGGTTTTGAAATAAATATTTCATTCATTCATTCATTCAATGTCACTTTACTTATCTACTTATTATCCTGCACTATATGTACAGTACATAACTCTGCACTACTACATGTATATATTTTTTGACTGGTATTGAAGCATTTCCAGCATCTACAGCCGGTAATGCTAGTAAAGAAACATAGCTACTACGTATTTTGTATATTTTGTGTGCTCCCTGTGTGCTCTTACTACTGTCCTGTCTGTGCGCTGCAACATCAAAATTTCCCCACTGTGGGACCAATAAAGGAATTCTTATCTTATCTTATTATAATGACAGTATTTTCTTTATATGTTTATATTGCTCCACATGGATGATGGGCCTGCTCTAGTTCATTATAATGCTATTCCCTGGGGTCCTGGTTACACTGCACTATGACTTAAGAAGACTAATATTGGAGGTTTGTTTTGGTATTTATGTAATTAGTAATAAAGTAAGTATTTCACTGCTGAAATACTGGTTCATGCATTCATCACCTCCAGACTGGACTACTGCAACAGCCTCCTCTTCGGTGGCCCCTCCTCCCATTTCCAAAAACTACAATACATCCAGAACTCTGCCGCCCGCCTGCTCACCCACACCCGCTCCAGCGACCACATCACCCCCCTCCTCAAAAAACTCCACTGGCTGCCTGTTATATGACATCCAATACAAGGTTCTCCTCCTCACCTACAAGTCCCTCCATAACCTGGCCCCTCCTACCTCACTGACCGCCTCCATCATCACTGTCCCACCCGCGGCCTCAGATTCACATACTCCAACCTCCTCACTCCCCTCAGGACTCACTGCAGAACTTTTAATCTTTTCTCAAAACCCACCTGTTTTAGCTTGCCTGTTTATTTACACGTGTTATGTAAAGCTTCTTTGAGTGCCAAAAAAATTGAGGGAATGGAATAACTATCTTAACTCTGAACAATTGTATAGCGCTTTGGGTGACCTTGGTCTGTAAAATGCGCTCTATTAATTGAATGTAATTGAATTTTAGCTGCATGAATCTGAAACGCTGCCTCCTCATATTTAGTCCCGACACAAGAGACCAGCAGGAGGCCAGTCCCTGTGCTCCTCAGAGTCCCAGCAAGAGGCCAGTCCCTGTGCTCCTCAGAGCCCCAGCAGGAGGCTAGTCCCTGTGCTCCTCAGAGTCCCAGCAGGAGGCTTTGTCTCAGTCCCAGAAGGATTCATACGACACTAACCTGCTCAGAGTAAATCTTTTTTTTTTCTTTTTTTTTGTATGGATGTGTTTCTGCTGCTACTTTCTCCAATGGGGATCAATAAAGTATCTATCTATTGATGTATCTATTCGTGTTCCCATATCTATCCATGCAAAGCTGAGGTTCTGCCACTCGCTCACTACTTCCACATGAACAACCAGCAACATTTTTCATTTTAAAGATGGACAAAATGCTGTGACATCACAGTGTGCTGGTGTGAGGCCTGTGAGCTGGAGGCAGTGGTAAACATGAGGTCTATGAGAAGCAGGCCTCTGCAGGAGTTTGTGTTGCCACCTCAAAGCTCCAGAAGCACAAACAGCCAAACAAACTCTCCAGTACATTCTTCTGCTATAAATCTTCTTAAAGCTTATTGTGGACGACCCAAACCCAACCTGTAAACCCTCATGGCTCCATTTGCCGACAATCTCAGCAAATGGGACGCTCGAATGCTCTTTTTCAGGAGAGTCCTGGCTCCTCAAAGAGGGGAGCTATTGACCATGTTTTTACTGGAAGGGGAAACTGGTGTACCCGGAGGAAACCTACGCAGGCACAGGGAGAACATGAAAACTCTTCTCAGCAGGGCCCTCTACTCCTTTTACCAGCCTCTTAAAGTACTCACCGAGCGCCTGAACACCTGTCTACAGTCTACGCATTGATGTTCAAACGCACTAACTATTATCCCTACCTCAGTCTCTATCTCTATCTCGCCCTCTATCTCTAAATGTTCTGGCAGGTCCAGTGGTACCGGTGGCCCAGTCTTTGCTTCTGTTGTTGGGCTTTCTTCCAATGCTCCAATCGCTCCCGGGCCAAACCCAAAGAACGCCTCCCACTGGTCTCAATTGCTTCCAACTGATCTTTGACCCGATTCATGTCCTTCTGCAGTGCCCGAATCCGTTCATCTCTAGCCTTCAGTTCATTGTCGCCCTCTGTCTCTATTAGTATTGACTAATCCAGAGGTATCTGACGAGATTTCTCTGCTATCTGGAGCTTCTTCTGTCGTTGGGCTTTCTTCCATTGCGCCACTCGCTCCCGGGCCAAATGCAAACAACGGGTCCTACTTGTCTCCACTGCCTCCAACTGATCTTGGACCTGATCCATGGCCTTCTGCAGTTCCCGGATCCGTTCATCTCTAGCTTTCAGTTCATTGTCGCCCTCTGTCTCTAATAGTATTGGCTGATCCAGAGGTATCTGAGAAGCTTTCTCTGCTAACTGGAGCTGCTTCTGTCGTTGGGTTTTCTTCCACTGCTCTACTCGCTCCACCGCAACACTCAAAGAACGCCTCCGACTGGTCTCAACTACCTCCAACTGATCTCTAACCTCAGTTACTTCCTTCTGCAGTGCCCGGATCCGTTCATCTGGAGCCTTCAGTTCATTGTCGCCCCCTGTCTCTAGTAGTATTGGCAGATCCAGAGGTATCTGACGAGGTTTCTTTCTTAACTGGAGCTGCTTCTGGCGTTGGGCTTTCTTCCACTGCGCCACTCGCTCCCGGGCCAAACGCAAAGAACAGCTTATATGTGTCTCCACTGCCTCCAACTGAGCTTGGACCTGATCCATGGCCTTCAGCAATGCCCGGATCTGTCCATCTCGAACCTTTAGTTCATCTTGAGCTCTTTTAAGCTGCTCTTGCAGGTCCTGCTCAATTGCCCATTCTTGGAAATCTGCAAGTCGTGCACTACACGCACATACATGCTGATTCCTTTTCCCGTTCATGCTGTTAGGTTAATAAAGTCTTTGCCTAACGCCTGATCTGTAAATATATGTATATCTTTCTGCTATCTTTTACTGCTGTAAAAAAGGCCTCTTTAAAGCCTCCAAGGAGTCCGAATACTGGGTTCAACTCAGCTGAAAGCCTCATAAGATAAATTCTGGTGTTCCGGAACCTTGTGGCACCATCTGCCACAAGGTGGTTCAGGAAGACTGTTCCAGGTCACTCAACATTCAACAACATTTATGGACATTTATCAACACTTATAGACATTGGTCATCTGCCCCTTATAGACCAACACCAATGTGTTTCTCTGATCTGTGTAAAGTCCTCCGAGAAACTACTGCTGTGAGTTAGGGCAAAATAATTAATAAACCTTACTACTTTTATTGTATATATGAATGATCTGTCCTTAGAGTTAAGTGCATGTAAAACGGGCTGTATGATTGGGCCAATCCAAGTGAATCATCTGATGTATGCGGATGACCTTGCTGTATTCAGCCCAAGTAGTGCAGGTCTACAGGACCTTCTCAATATCTGCTCTAAGTATGGTGTAGATTATGATGTAAGGTATCATGCAAGCAAAAGTATGATAATATTATGTAGAACTAAAGATGACGTAAATGTCTGACGTAAAAATCTTCTCATCCTGTTTTCCTTCTCTCTGTTCATCCTCCTATTCCCTTTTTTCTCTTCCTTCCTTCCTTCCTTTCTCCCTTCTTTCCTTCCTACCTTCCTTCCTTCTTCTTTCCTTGACCAAAGATTTGTCCTCTGATTCCTCATTATCGTAGGAAAATAGACAATCTGGATCAGCAATAACATTGTCCTCTGTCTCTGAAAAATCCTCTGTTTCTGAAATCGATTCCTCTACATCATTATCCCAGTTTAAAATCTGTGATAAAGCCTCCTCAGATGTCATCCTTCTGAAGCTCATTTTTGGTGAGTTTGTCAAAAGCCTAGCGTACATCGACAGAGTAACTGGAGACAACTAATTGCAAGGCGGCTTTTGGCCGCTGAGAGAAGATGATGGAGATGATCAATTGCCAAAATTGGTCTATGTGAGCGCTCTTACAACTGGAGATAAACAGTCGATCTCCGGATTCAGTCAGTTGCCCGTGTTATACTTTTCGGCTACTAGTTGTCCTCAGATCCGGAGATATCACCCGATGTGCGCGCTCCTAATGGATCCATGGCGCGCTCCAACAACATGTGTGTATTGTGTGTATTGCGCCCTCTACAGTTTATGTCAGAAAACACACTGTAGTTGACGGCCAGTTGCTGTCAATGTACGCGCTGTTATTCCCGAGACTGGCCTGATTCAGGAGCGGCCCGTTTTCGCCACATTGTCGCTGTGCAGCAACTCAAAGGCGACGGATATGAGTTGCAAGTACGATGTACGCCAGGCAAAAGAGATGACATGAGAACAGTGACAAGGACAAGAATGAGAAAGTTCCCTCGCTTCACACATGTGGCTCTGGGTCTCAGAGGCAATCAAAATACAATGTCAAAGAGACATGTTTTTTTGGATCTGAACAACTATTTACCCACATTAAAGCGTCTGGGTCAAAATGACCCGCAACATCATCTTTGTATACAAACTCTGCACAGACATTCCACTACACATCAAAGTGTCCAAATTTTACACACCAGTTCATGACCCTAGATGAGGAAAAGTCACCAAATTTCAGCAAGAAAAAGAAAGGATAACCAGTACTTTGATCTGAGATCAAAGTACTGGTTATCCTGAACTGAACTGAAATGGGTCAAATTGACCCTTAACATAATACAAGGGTTAAAGCATACTGTACGTCATTATACACGGCGCACTTATGGACCAAATACAAAAAAGCAACCATCCGCAAACTCAATGTGGCATACATGTGGAGGATTTTATTGAAAAAGCCACGATGGGAAAGTTCAAGCACTTTGTTTGTGTCAGCTGGAATAAGGACATTTCAGGCCGCCATGCAATGTCTGATGTACAGTTTTATTTGTCAGCTCAATGAAAGCATGAATTTTATTATCATAAGCCTGACAAATGTCAAATTCAGTGCCACGCGGTACCAGTCAGATCTGTGGAGACACTAGTACAGCTGTTTGCTCTGAGAAGTGAGGCTTATTGTTGTGATTATATGTGTTGTTTTGTGTTTTTATGTGATGTGTGTTTGTCTTATCCTGGACCTTTAGTCTGTAATAAAGTTTGATATGATATGATATGATACTCATATAGTGCCTTTCACAGACCAGAGTCACAAAGCACTTAAAATGGTTGTGGGCATTTGTCTCTCACTCCACTCAGATTTGGGAGCAGGGTCGCCGAACAGGAAGCGCATGCTAGACCTATTGTACATGTCTTTAGTGGTAGGGGAAACCGGAGCACCCTGAACAAACCTACGCAGAAACGCGGAGAATATGAGTACTAATATGAGGGCGGCACAGTGGCTGAGTGGATACCCCTCTCGCCTCTCAGCAAGAAGGTCCTGGGTTGGAACCCCGGTCGGAACAGTGCCTTTCTGAGTGGAGTTTGCATGTTCTCCCCGTGTCTGCGTAGGTTTCCTTCGGGTGCTCCGGTTTCCCCTACCACTAAAAACATGCACAATAGGTATGAATGTAAATGAGAGGGTGAATGGATGGTGTTGATTGGAGCTGATGGTCCAGTGTGTTCGGCGACTCGCTTCCGTCTTCACCGTGTGTGGAATGATTGGACCAATATCTGATCTCTGAACATTGTAGAGCGCTTTGGGTGACCTTGGTCTGTAAAATGCACTATATAAATAAACTAGTGCTGTCCAACGATTAAAATATTTAATCGCGATTAATCGCATGAATTTCATAGTTAACTCGCGATTAATCGCAAATTAGTCACACATTTGTATCTATTCTTTATGTCCCTTGAATTATCATTTTAATACTACTAAAAAGTGAATAGGCGTGCTGTGTGCAATTGCTTTTTTTAATATTTTGTAAATTTGTTCATATAAATACTCTATGCTGTTTCTCTGTTTACTTTTGGTATATCTATGACTGTATACTGTTTGCTTGTATTGCCTTTTTTATTAACCCCTCCCCCCCATCTCCCACTTCATGCCCCCCCCCCCCCCCCCCCCTCCTCCTGTGTGCCCTTCTGGGTTTCTTCTTTGGCCCCCTCTATCTCCAACTACATATTGTTTGTAATCTCTGTCTACAATGTATCTGAACTAGTCCTTTTCTTTGTTTCTATTTTTTTCTGTATATGTGTTTGTCTGCAATAAAAAGTAAAAAAAAAAAAAAAAAAAAAAAAAACATTTTTTTTTTTTTTTTTTAATTGCGCGATAAAAAAAATGACGCCGTTAATATTGATTTGCGTTAACGCATTAATAACGCGATATTTTGGACAGCACTAAAATAAACATTACTTACTTACTTGCTAATTACTAGCCACCGTGCCGTCATTTTTGACATGTTCCTGACTTCCTGATGGTGAAAAGTAGACATGAGATCAAACAACTCTTTCCCACTCTTGTCCTTTGTTAACATTGGATTTCAACCTGGGTTAAAAACATAGCTCTACAGTATGCAAGAACTGGATAACGGGTATAGGTGAAGATCCAATGTGACAGTTATTAATGCCCCCTCAGCCTTGCATTTACTGAGTGGATGCCCAGGATATCCATTGCTGCTAATCCTACGGTGCTGCTCACAGTATAAAAAGTCATCTCTCATCCTGACGCCTCTGATATATGTGTGAGTTTATGCTGTGATTCCCCTCCCACTGTGACACTTAGCTCCTGCTGATTCATCTGCACCAGGTGTGTCTATGGTGCACAGCGGGCACTGTCTTTCTTAACATTAGTGATGTTATCTTAAAGTTTGGCCAAAGTTAGTTAATGCTGTAAAAACTGCCTTTATTTAAAGACTTAATATAACTCGAGTCAATTCCCTCTGCAGATGTCCAGCAGGAAATATAAAAGTTTTTGTGTCTTTGTCCATCCAGCTTGTATGGATGTAATGGTTTAGTATTGAAGCTTTGGTCTTGGTACAGTATGCAAGAAGTGAGTAAGGACGAATTTTCACATTGTCACAAAGTCCTTTTACAATTATCCTATGACATTATTTCAACAAGAACAACTATCAATGTTACATGAAGTTTGGTAGTACGAACCAGACAAAACGCTGGTCTTTCAATATTTTCCATAAAACAGCATTTAGATTAGCATTTAGATAGCCAACGCTTTCACCCTGAAGAGCTTTCGGGACAAAAGTGGCGGACAGCGACAGCAGGGCTTTTATCCCCACTGCTGTCAGACTGTACAATAAGTCACTTTAAGTCACTTGCATTAGGACTGAAAAAACCTCCACTACTATTGACACTGTTTCTTGATTGCCACTTTTGAATTGCCACTTTTTATTGTACATAATATATCCTGTATTTAACATGTTTGCACATTTCTTTCTTTTGCACAATCTTGAGTGTTTCTATCCATGCCAGATGTGACATGTACATTTCTCCGGTGTGAGATCAATAAAGTCTATCTTATCTTAAAATGAGTGAATACAGTGGTGAGTTGCACGTTCAATTAGATGCCTTAAATGTATTCACCAATACTATGTACACTATCGGCATGTGAATCATTGAATCAGAATTATTCTCCGATTATCAGGAAGAGCTCTGTAAGAGCCTTGTGAGTGTCTTACTAAAAGGACAGTGATGATTCAGGACACTCAAAATTCCACAACATACTGTAGACATTCATCAACACTTACTGTATGGACATTGATCATCTTCTCCTTACGGACCAATACCAATGTGTTTTCTGTTGCATTTCTTGTGTTTAATCTGTTTGATTCTCTGATCTTTTTAAATCTTTAT